TGACAATGGACAGATTCAGTGTTCATCTGGTAAAAGACCTGTGCTTAATACACTATAAAAAAGCAGATCCATTGTGTTCCAGTTTTTTGTTTTTTTTTGATCAATTTTCTGCTTATTGTTACTTTAAAAGTTCATAGTGAATAGACATTTTGGGGAGCATGCCTTCAAACCCGCTTAGTAAAGGCTCAGCGCCCCCATCCATAAATCTCTACTGACGCCCCTGCCAAAGTTCTAATCAACCACTGGTAGTCTTGAAAAAAATCAGAACCAGAAGCCACAGAATAGTGTGGAAATCGTGAGAATATTGTTTTGAAACCCTTAATCAGGATGTTTTGAGAATCTATTCTACTTGGGGCTCTTGAAGTTTCTGCTAATTAGTTGAGAGCAGAAGTGAAGACATCTTTGATTTGAACACATTTCAGCAAGTTCCTTTGAGCTCCTTTTTTTATAAATGACCTGCTTTATTGTTATCTATAACCAGAGAAGGATGAAAAAGTTATAATGTTATGTACAAACCGGATTCCAAAAAAGCTGGGACACTAAACAAATTGTGAATAAAAACTGAATGCAATGATGTGGAGGTGCCAACATCTAATATTTTATTCAGAATAGAACACAAATCACAGATCAAAAGTTTAAACTGAGAGAATGTATCATTTTAAGGGAAAAATATGTTGTTTCTAAATTTCATGGCGTCAACAAATCCCAAAAAAGTTGGCACAAGGCCATTTTTACCACTGTGTGGCATCCCCCCTTCTTCTTACAACACTCAACAGACGTCTGGGGACAGAGGAGACCAGTTTCTCAAGTTTAGAAATAGGAATGCTCTCCCATTCATGTCTAATACAGGCCTCTAACTGCTCAATCGTCTTGGGCCTTCTTTGTCGCACCTTCCTCTTTATGATGCGCCAAATGTTCTCTATAGGTGAAAGATCTGGACTGCAGGCTGGCCATTTCAGTATCCGGATCCTTCTCCTACGTAGCCATGATGTTGTGATTGCTGCAGAATGTGGTCTGGCATTATCTTGTTGAAAAATGCAGGGTCTTCCCTGAAAGAGATGACGTCTAGATGGGAGCATATGTTGTTCTAGAACCTGAACATAGTTCTCTGCATTAATGGTGCCTTTCCAGACATGCAAGCTGCCCATGCCACAAGCACTCATGCAACCCCATACCATCAGTGATGCAGGCTTCTGAACGGAGCGTTGATAACAACTTGGGTTATCCTTGTCCTCTCTGGTCCGGATGACATTATTTCCTTGACAGTGGCATTCCTGTTTGAGGTGCAGTGACGTTTAAGGGCCCGGAGATCATGAGCATCCAGTAGAGTTTTACGGCCTTGACCCTTACGCACAGCGATTGTTCCAGATTCTTTGAATCTTTTGATGATGTTATGCACGGTTGATGATGATAACTTAAAAGTCTTTGCTATTTTACGCCGGGTAACACCATTCTGGTATTGCTGCACTATCTTTCTGCGCAACAATGGTGGAATTGGTGATCCTCTTACCATCTTGGCTTCAGAGAGACACTGACACTCTGAGAAGCTCTTTTTATACCCAATCATGTTGTCAATTGACCTAATTAGTGTTAATTGGTCTTCCAGCTGTTCGTTATATGCTCAATTTCCTTTTTCCAGCCACTTATTGCTACTTGTCCCAACTTTTTTGGGATTTGTTGACGCCATGAAATTTTGAAACAACATATTTTTCCCTTAAAATGATACATTCTCTCAGTTTAAACTTTTGATCTGTGATTTGTGTTCTATTCTGAATAAAATATTAGATGTTGGCACCTCCACATCATTGCATTCAGTTTTTATTCACAACTTGTTTAGTGTCCCAACTTTTTTGGAATCCGGTTTGTAATTTTGTTTTAAAGGGCCTATATCCTTAGAAAAAAAAGGTACGAAACTGTCACTGGGGTGGGACCCTCAAGGGTACATCTCAGTACCTTTAGACAGGGAACATAACTGTACCATAATCCATTAAAATTATATTTTCTAAGTTGTACTGACTCCACACAGCCCGTCTCATCTCCAGGCTTTTTATTTTATTTTATCTAAAAGCAGCCCGGGCTGAAACACTCTTCAGGTGAATGGGTGGGGCTAAACTGCTGTGGACTGAAAAAGTGGATATATACAAACGTGCTTGCTTTTGTGACATCACAAAAACAAAGACTTCAAAATGGGCTGTTTTCGTAGCTTGGTTTACACATATGGAGTTTATGGACTGGGGAGTAAATGGTAGATTTGGATACGTTAACAGTGTTAAATGCTACATTAAACTTATATTTCAAAAATACAGTGAAAATGACAGTGAAAAAACAGTGGGATTTAAAGCACTGTGGTGAAACTAAAACAAAAAGAGACACGACTACATATTTCTAGGAAGAAGTAAGAGTATTTCTAAGTGTACATAAGGAAGGCCATAAAACATTTGAGATTAAATCTGAGAACTTGGAAATCTTTTATAAAATCCAGCTTGAAGCCATTACCAATCTTTTCACTGATGTACTTGTTAGAGGGCAATGAGGAGAAAAGCAGATGGTGATGGATACCCGCATCAAGGCCCCAAAGTAAATCACAATACTTACAAACTGAAACTGGCTTGTTGGCATTAGTGAAGAAAAACACTGGCAAAAGGCAAAGTTTTCTGCCATTAAGTCCCTATTTAGGACTAGCAAATGATGCCTTTTCTGCTTCCTATTAATCAGGCTAGATGTTATAGCAATAAATACATGCTGAGACACACAAACAAACACTCCAGAACATGCACACAGAAAACTGCACTCAAAACCGTTATTACACCAAAAAAAGAATGTTTGCCATCACAAACACTGTAATATAAAACCTATATGTAGAGATGGTATAATACACTACTACCCCACAGAAAGAAATACACAGGAAACAACATCACATTATACAGTGCATAGTTATTCAAGATAGACTTGTTACAGAATTGATTCTTTTTCCTCCAATATCTAATCCAGCATTTTCTACTGATTTCAGCCCAGTACCCAGTGTCAGATCGATGCCTTCTCTACCCAATGGGCTTCGATTATCATAAAAATAATCAGCCATACATCTTAACACGCTAAACGTAAACTCGAGGGGTCTACGACACAGGGGCTGGATTCTCAAAGCACTTAAGGCAGTCATAATTCACTAGGACCACCATATCTTCCCAGCCTTACTCATAACTGCTGCTCCAGCGATTTTCGAAACATTTCAGGCACTATTTTGTCACATCACTGGTTTTATCTGTGGGTATGACCATAGTAAAGTTTATGACCACCTCAGATCAGTCCTAACATGATAAAAACCAGGAAACATTTATGATCTTTCAACAGCATTGTGAAGAGAACTTCTACTTAATGTAAACCACACTGAAATCAACTGTAAAGCCATTAAAACTCGAAGAGGACAATACTGAAATTTAGTCTACAATAACACATTACAATAACATTACAATTCCTAATAAAAGAAAGTTTCTTTTAGTATTTTTATGTATCACTTCATAAAGAGCACAGTTAATGAAAGTGATTAAAATAACAGATTACTGTTCAAAGAAATAGTTTTTTTTTCTTTTTCTCCCACATCATTTCAATGTTTTACACTGTGTGAAAACTGAATGATGAATGTATCAGTTAAAATGCTCCAATTTTTTTGGAATAAAACCTCTTTACATTAAGTTATGAATGTTTTGCCTTCTTCTGTAAACTTACTAATTCTGAGATACATGTTTTTTTTTTCCTTTGGAGAGCTTAAAACAATAAAATAAACATGTTCATTAGACTTGTTTGATCATTGTGAATGAACCGAACCCCACAGAAGTGCTCGTCAGTTTTTCTACTGTATTTGTTCAGTTGCACCAACCGCTGGAGTTTTTATTTGCTCGGTTTTGATCAGTTGGACCAGTGGCAGAAAAGGACTAAACTGTGAAAGACAGGGGATCATGGGTACTTGCCTACTGCCCAGAAGCTCTGGCCATAACATTTCATTTTATATTTTGGCCACTAAAAATGCAGAGCCTATGGCCTGAGTGGACACTTGCCTATTTCGTGTTCCTTTTCCCTTTTAACAAAGTCAGAATTTGTCAACCATAATGACCACAACAGTTAACGTGATGGCGTGGTGACACTGGTGGTCCCCCTGCCTAGACAGTCCATCTGGTCACTTTCACAGATACGGATTCATTTGATAACATCACTCTATGAAATAAGGTCTAAAAAAAATATTATGTTAAATAAGCTGGCATTAATCCAACAGGCTGTCAGTGTAACAGCTAAGCGCCACCTAATGACATAACCTTGACCAGATGACTTCAGGTTGGACCAAGTCAGCAAGGGGTGGGGGAACTACCACAGTCTCCACAACAGCAATTTTTTTTAATGAATGCAAAGTTTAAAATAAAGATTTTCTTTTTCAAATGAATACTTGACTCTTTGACACTGAAACATGCTTGTTAACTGTAAATACAATGCATATAGGATACATTTGTTTCCATTTTTGTTGCTACAAGAGTCACTGGAGTGGTCAGTGCAAATTTTTATATCTCTATCTCTATAGGGTTGGTTACCACTGAGCTGACGAAGTAAAGGTTTAAATCAATCTAAATGAATCAAAGAGAATAGATGCATACATAGAAAATACTGCACAGAATATTAATAAAAGTGCATCATTGTGTTCACCACTTGAAGTAATAGCAAACTCTTTTTAAACGACCTTCAGAGATTCTTCTTGTGAAGAATCTCTGAAGGTCGTGAAAAGCCTGTTACTGTAGTTCTTAAGTTGAATCTGGTAGAACTGCTGATTTTTCCCCCACAGAAAAGTTTAAGAAAGAAAACACCTGCCTTTGGACAACATGCCAAACAGCAGAACAAGAGGGAATATAAAACAACAAAATGTGAAATCTAGGAATTAATTGCTAACAGCTGTGCTTCTCCACAGTTCTACTGCATAAAAAAGTAAATAATTCCTGGAAACAATACCAACAGTATATAGTTTTTAAAGTCACTTCATTTATTATCCCGTAACATTCCAGAGCAGTAATGTAAATGTGGCAAATGTGTGTTTACATTAAACTTCCAAATCTAGATCAATTAAAAAGAAATGGCCCATACTACTAGAACTGGACACAAGAATAAGCCAAGCATTCTTGTCAAACAGACAGAGTGCAAATAAAATCTGTATTCAACATGAATAAACTTTGGCTTTAAAGATGCCTTTGAAATCCTGAAAACGATAAGAATGCAGTCTCTGCTATGTGAACAGAGTAGAATTAACTGACTGGTGATGCTGCATAAAACTCAGTCACAATGTGATAGAATGAAACAGTCAGTTATGTCCCAGCATGGGCAGAAGTGATGAACAACAAAGCAACATTTCATTTAATTTCATCTCTTATTCTCACTTTGTGTTCACAGCTACAGTCGTTCACAGAGGGGATTACAATGAGGACACTTTTGAAAGCATTCTGGATCTCTTTACCCACCCAAATCCCACAACCATTTTCTTAAATCCTTTTTTCTAATCCTTTTCATGTTGATGTTCTGTTTTGCTTCACACACATTCATCCAGTCACGTATTCAACAAAAGAGGCCTTTCTTCTAGACTCAAGTCTTGTGAGATTGTATGGGAAGGCAGACATACAGAAGCTATTGAAAGTTTTCTTCAAATTGGGCTAGTCATGTGCCTGTGCGCCTGGGGAACCGGGCTGAACATTAAGCCACAAAGAATTAACGTTTCAAACACTTTCACAAGACTCATGTGCCAGCAGCTGAAAGGGTGAATATTACAGCACAGGGTGTCTCCATCTAGTGGATGGAAGTGTAGAAGTGTAGGACCAGGGGCTTACGCCTTATATCCAATGATTTCCCCTTTGATATGCCCTTCTTTCGTACCAGCGGTCAGTAGGATGGGACAAGAGCCACAGTGAGAGTGATTCAGCCAGCTAGCTCTTTTCTGGTCGGTTCCTTTCCAGTGCTGCCTTGGGGGTGAACTCCAGTTTGTCCTTCAGACTGAGTACTTGTGTGCTGTCTCGGCCAACCAGTTCCTCCAATTTTCTGTCCTCTCGCAGCTCCGCTATGCCCTTCTCTTCTCCGGGTGAGTTGGGGGTTCCTCGGATAAACCACTCTAAGTGATAGCCCACTGCGCCCACCACGAAGGCCACAGGGAAGGTCACGTAGGGCGCATAGGTGCGCATGGCCGTCCACAACACCGGCCACATGGCTGCACACTCAACTCAAATTTGCCCTAAAAAAATTAAAAATAATATTAAAAAAAAACAAAAAACATGTGAAACAAGTGGGAGACCACACTGAAATTATACCATCGGCACTCACAAACACGTTAGCTAATCTAGCTAAGTGGCTTGTCCTCTAATAATGTGAGCTACAAATCAGGTGGTTATATTTACATTCACGGCGTCGTGACGTCTGTCTAATTTACATAATCGCATTGTCATGATGCATAAATGACTAACTTTCACTTGTAAAACAAGGAGCCTTCATTTGTTTTTAATAAGTTAGCTTGTGTATGAAGCTCCTCAGGTTTGAAGTTAGCACGCTGCTAGCCTGCCCCTTTAAACAGGAGAGCAGCGTCCACAAACGCAGACACACATTAGAAACACCGCGTAACACCAACACAAAGCCTGTTCTTTATACTGTTAAACATTCTATACGCTACACTCCCTCTTTACCTACTGTACTCAGAAGTTTATCATTCTCTCATCATCACGCTGATCTCAGACATTACACCCCAAAACTCTTCCTTCTTACATGTCCCACCCACTCTACACTGATTAGTGCAGCTGCGTGACGTCACCTTGACGTTTCGGCCTTCCGTTCGCCCAAAGAGCTGCCAGTTCAGCGCTTCAATGACGTTAACGACGACAAGTGTGCGATGCCAGAGCGGGTTAAGGAGAGTCCCCTTTTATTTCTCCCATTATGTCAAAAACAGGGCTGCAAAACGCCAGAGGGCGCCCGCGAGCGAGTTCTAAATGAATGGGGCTGAATGGAGCTAAACCGCTAAAAAATAAAAGTTAAAATAGTTTCTAGCCACTTGTTCAGGACCTTCCTTTAATTTTAGAAAGTAGAAGCATGTATTTCACTAAAAAGCAAAGAAAACGTACCTGTATGTTTCTTTTTTATCTACACCAAACGGGTTTTTTCAATGTAGGACGCTAACGTTACTGCTACTGAATGCTGATTGGTTGGTATTACAGCTACTGAGTGCTTATTGGTTGGTATTACAGCTACTGAGTGCTTATTGGTTGCTATTACGGCTACTGAGTGCTGACTGGCTGAGTGAAGGACTTCGCACTCACTGACGTCATGAATGTACACGAGGTGCCCTTATAAACTCATGTAACTGGAGTTTAAAAGCGCTCAAAAATATAAATAAAACTAACGATGTAAAAAAGTTTATGCTGTTCAGTATTCAAGAAATTAATGCATTCTTCTACATAAAAATGTTTAAGCATTTACAAACTATTATTTTGCTCAAATGCTCCATATTAACCCACTCTATTTGGACTCGCTCGGGAGCACCGTAAGTGTTTGACAAGCCTGTAGAACATTACAGAATAGCAATTTTCCTCTCTACAAATTCTCTGGCAATGCTGCAGAAGGCCACAGCGCCCACTCGAGTTACATGGTATGCTCAGACTATTCTGCTGTTGTCTTTTTATTTGACATAACAGACATAAGAACCTTATAACCATTTTCTATAGACCCTATACAGAAATTCATTAGTTTTTGTCGGAAATACCCAAGATTTAATGAACAACTCTTCGGTAAACCAACCAGTATTCACCTTTATTTGAAAAACAGGCGAATAAATATTTTGGCACAAAGCAGAAAAATAACATTGGTCCTTACACTACTGATGAAAGAGTCTGTTTTACATGACACTTGTTGATAAGATTAAAAAAAAAAACTGAAACACTGTCAAATTGCTCAAACACATCAACATTTGTCACAATTAGCTCAGGTTTAAGCTCATAAGCGTCCTGCCCATGGGTTATTAGGTTAATTGAGCGAGTGTTTTATATATAATTTAGAAGCTATGAATTTATTAAATGTAGCTAAAATATAGCATAATACAATTCATAAAAAGGTGCTCTACAAGATGCATGATGGCAACAGACAATATAATGCAACTTCACCCCATGAATGAACTACTTCACTTTTTGCATTTCAATCATAAGGCAGTTAAAAATAAAAAAGCAAGAGAGGCACCCTGCATGTACCACTTCTAGTACAAACAATCTATGGCACATTCCCAGTTTAAGCGGATAACTAAATGCTATTTGTTAGCATGTTTCTGCAACTTGTATTTTACATTAGAGCGATCATACAGATTAAGTAATAACTACGGACCTGTCCAAAGTAGGGCCAGCAGTAGGAGTGCAAATGTACAAGAAGTGGGGTGGGTGAGGTAAGTTGCAGTGGAAGGCACTGTTGCAGGGGTTACACAGTGGCAAATGGAATGCCAATTTGGTCTTTGGCATCAACAGCGAGTGGTCCTCTTCCACTGATGCAATCACTAACCATCTAATGAAATTCTCATGCAAATCTTCACATAAGTCGTGTAATAGCGCTGAACAGAAAGTCCTCGTAGCTCATGCGTATGTTGCCAGTCATGGCGGTGTCCTTCTCACGGAAGGCTTGGGTCATGCTTTGCAGCTGGGTGCACACCTGGATGAAGCGGTCAAGCTGGAGGGCATTATTCATGCCACGGACAGTGAAGCGACTCACCAAGGTCTGAATGAACTGGGGGCTCAGGTTATAACCCAACTGAGAGAGTGCTAAGGAAAGAAGACAGGTAGATAGATTTTGGTACACTGGTGGTCAAAAAGAATTGTAAACATAGGAAATAGATAACTAAGCATGTTTATCAGTATTTTGCAGGTCCTCCTCTAACATTCATGGCCATCTCACATTGCTTAATAGAGAGCTACCTATTCATGCATGTCATGTAGTGCCACTTTTGCAGACCCAGATTACACATAAGCCTAGTGTTGATTCACACTTGTTCTGCAATTTAGCTAAGAAATAAGAATAGTTATGAATTAAGAATTAAGACTAGGCGTAATTCTACTACTGACTTGCCCAGCTAACCTAAAATGGAATCTTAAATCACTAGTGAGCAAGCTTTGCGTTAGACCATTCTGTCATTTTTGGAGTTTTCCTCAACAGGAACAGAGGGAATAAACCTTTCAAAGACATTAAAAACAGCTGCTAAACAGGTAAACATATTCAGTAAGAACAATTATTAAGGCTAATATAGCCTCATACTAGCCTTACATGCCTTGCCTATCTAACAAATTCTAAAACCAGTAGAAAAGAAGCCTTTTGTTCTTGTACACAGAGTTACTTTCTTTGACTATCCACCAGAGCAGCCTCCACTGTGAAAGCTCATCATGAAGCATAGCAACTAATAAATAACAATACCAATTTGTCATACCATAATAACTTTTTTTTGATAACGCTTTATTTGGATGGTCCACTGTAGATGCTTTGTAAATGCTTAGTATATCTTTAAGTAACATTCAACTAAATATCCATTAAACGCAACTAAACTGCTAAGTTCACTGTGAAAGAGTGGCAAAAACCTACACCTACTCCTAACCCTAGCCCTAACCATAATGTTGTTAATGATCAACTGAACATCAACAGAAGGTTTGTTAATGATTTAATTATCTGTAGAGCATCTATAGGGGACCATCCAAATAAAGTGTGACCCTTTTTTTATCTATAGAAACTGTTTTCCACTCATTCTTTAAGGCTGTTCACAAGCCATCCATAGTGAATGGATATTTCTTCTCCACATATTTCCCCACATGTTCTTAGTCCCAAATGTTCTTAGAGGAATGTAAATCAAGCCATTCCAGCTGTGTCATTACTTGAATATCCTCCACCTCAAACCGCTTAAATCACTTGAAGAGCAGGGTGGCATCTAGCTTTGTTTTACAGTATTCAGTTGTTTTATGTGTTTTTTCCTCCTTTAAGTTAGCAGAGAGCATAACGCCCTTCAAAGACATTAAAGCAGTTGCTAAACTGCACAGGCTGAATCTATTCAGCACAGACTGAATCTATTCAAAACGAGCTGCTGCCAACACTTGAAACATGGCCTACTCCCTACTCAAATCTACCACACAACCTTGCAATAATGTGTGGTAATTACCAGTGACTGAAATCAGAGAAAATTGAGTTAAAGCATCTCTGTACCCTCCATTGTTTTTCTTAATTTTGCACCCATTTTATCCTTTATCACCTCTCACCTTGGTGCATCTCATTGCTGTTAATGGAACCTGAACGGTCACGGTCAAACTGGTTAAACAGTGCCCGCCACTGCTGCAAGAACATCCAGAGAGCTGAGAATCCAAATACATCCATGCGCCCAGATTTGGTCTTGTCAAACATATCTGGGAGAAAATAAATAAATAAATAAATAAATAAAAACACAATCCAATCTCTCAACTATTTTCACACATACAGAATCTGATGGTATTACTGCATTACTGGAAAGTTTGCAACCACCCAGTCAGCCTAAACTTAAGCTTATCTGCCCGTGAAAGCATCCATTCAGCAATGAAAACGAGAATTTGAGAGTACTGACTGAGCATCATCATGCAAGTCTCGTCATTGAAGGCTGAGTTGTTGGAGTTGACAAGGGCCTGCTTCAGCTCCTTAAGGTTGATGTAGCCGCTATGATCGGTGTCAACAGACTGAAACCACTGATAGGCCTCGGGGTTAACTCCTGGTGGGATGTTACCTGGAACACCAAAGCCAGTTAAAGAAAACTGTCACAACAAAAATCAATATGTCCTCAAATGAAACACTGAAGTCACCATCAAAAACAGCTCTATATAGTGTTATAGCTGAATCTGTTTTCAGTTTACTGAATAAGGAACAACAACAAGCCAAAAACAGGGTATAGCCGTCATCTGAGACCCCTGAGAAGAACACCTGGTTAGGCTAATAAGAGTATGTGGAGGTGCTAAAAAGAATTAAACACTCAGTTGTCAGTAAAATGATAGTCGGTGCCCCTGTCACATTCTGGCCTCAAGAGGGACACAGACGTGTCAGTTTGGGACAAACCCAGATGGGCTGTGTCCCCCTTGGGGAAGGATAATGATTCTGTTTAAGAGCCATCCTGTGACTAAAGCCCCACAGGGGACAATATTGCACACTCCACACTGTATAAAAACTTGCACTCTCTCTCACACAGTCACGCAGCATTATCATGCCCATCACTCTAATTCCGCTACAGGCATAACCTGTACCAGATCTGTATAAGCTGCAGCTGCCAGGTTCCTGAACACACGTCAGTCATCAGTCATTCAGTGAGGGGCAGATGACACAGCTGCAGTAAAGGGGGATGAAGGACCTTCATAAATTTCTGTTTTTTGTGTTTTGTGCACAGCCCTCAGCCACTCCAAACATGATGAAGAGGCTGCGGCTCTGAGTGTCATTTTGTGCCTATAACCTTGACACACAGACATCATCAGCCAGATCAGACCAGATCTGCTGCCTGCCATGCCGATGAACAAGTGAAAGAATTTGGAAGACAGATCAAGGACCAGAATAGAGTGATCGTAATGACAGAGTGAGCACATCTAACTTTATGTTGTGAAAAATAAACCATGACAAGTCAACAAACAACCTGCATACCTGATTTATAAATGAAATTTAGCTACACAACAACAAAGTCTAAACAGTTTTGAACGTGTTTGTTATTCCCCTCAACGGTTATTCTCACCTCCCGGAATCTGCTGGCCATATGGTCCTCCATGAGGCTGTCCATATCCTCCGTAGGGGGCACCTGGGGCTTGCCCCCCTCCATAAGGTGCTCCAGGTGCACCACCTGCAGGTCCAAACTGACCACTGGAACCAGGTGGGCCATAGCCTCCATAGGGTGCTCCAGGTGCAGCCCCTCCATATTGTCTACCTGGTGCACCACCGTATGCGGCACCTGCACGTGGAGCTGGACCCCCATAGGGTCCTCCAACAGGACCACCTGGCGGTACACCACCTCCATAGGGGGCACCTGGATGTTGCTGGGGAGGGTTACCCCCTGGTCCTGGATATCCCTGTCATTAAAAAAAGCAAAAAACCCATTTCAGTGTCTTGAACATGCAGCATCACCAATTAGTTACAACTTGTTTAGTCTAGTGAAATAGGAAGGCAAAGCAAGGCAAGTTTATTTATATTTCTACAATTTATTCACATAGAGTTAAATAAAAGTGAAGTGAAAACATAACTAAAATTAAAAATATAAACACATACTAAAATTAACAAATAATACAAATACACAAGCCTTTTCCAGGACCCTACATGAGGAAGATCACTGCCTATAATGTATTAATTATTCCATGGGATAAGAGCCTTAGCATTTAACCTCTAATAGAGGTGCATTAAACCTAGGATAACAATTATTCTCAAGTCATTTCCAGCACCCTAGTAGAGGAAGATCACAAAGTTACTGCCTTTCACTGGATGAATGGCAGGCAGCTAGAGTTGGGCAATATGACAATATTTATCATTATCGTGATAAGTACAACACAATGTCACAACATGCTTTTCTGAGCACACTGTGGATACTGTCAGTAAATAAAACACATCTCAACTGCATGGCTGATTATAAAGAGATCATAATTTGTCCTGTTTAATTAGATTAAGTGCAGTATACACACACACACCTACACACACACACACATACCCCTTCTAAGCCGCTTATCCTTCCGGGTACTAAGTGCAGTACAAAATCATCACTGTATTATAGTTGAAAGTAAACCAAAACCTCCCAGGCATTAACCAGTACTTGGGATAACAGTGCTAGCATTTAACCTCTAAAAGAGTTGATTAAACTACTCTTTTCTCAACAATGTATACATTGTTGTCTAATATACATTGTGTCTGAGTCTTGGCATTTCCACCTAGAAGAAAACAGTGACAGGGCAGGGTAGGCTAAGCTACTTTACTCACTGCTGCTGCGTGGACATTAGCTAATGCAGGATAATAAAAACGTAATCAAGCAGGCGAACGTTTGTTAGATAAATGACAAATGAAGATGTTTATACACTAATTTCTACACGTGATAAAAGGCTACATGAATGATATACATTTTCCGTTCATTTCAGGTTCTGTCCTGCCTTGCTACATTAGCACACATAGCTAGCTAGCTACTGTTTAGACTGCCTGGTTTAAGTGTTTAAGCTTAGTTTCGGTCTCCGCAGGGCTCTAACTCTGCTTTACGCAATAAAAGCCACTAAAAGTAGAGCGAACAAGAGGCGAAGAGATTAAAACACTGAAAATTTCCCAACCCGGAACCCCATATACCTGTCCGTAGTAACTCATTTCGCTGAGAGAACTTCGGTCAGCATACCAGCCAATGAGTTCTTAAGGCCCGCCCCTCGTCCCGGATTGGTCCTTTTTACTGTTTGTCATGAACTGAGCCGCACAGCTCCCTCTGTGATTGGTTAAAATCATGGAAACTTGCTGAAACTCCAAACCGTGAGTCAGCTCAGCAGACACGCCTTTATAGAGTAACTACAGTTCAGTACAGAATAAAATTGAACAGTATTAATAAGGTTATTCAAACAATTGATAATTTACCGGTTCTGTTTTTTTTTATTTGTTCTTATGATTTCTGAACTCTCTGAACTCTCACTGAACGAAGGAATTTTCAGGAATCATAGGAATGTTATCATGTTATCTCTTCTGACCTGCATATGTACAGGTGTTCACACATCTCTTTAGCTCCTTTCCCACTGGCTCTTTATTAGTCTTTATTATTCTTTATTCTATATTCTATATTTATTCTGCTTTTATTTTGTTTGTGTCTTGCTAAAATACTTGCTAATACTGTGTGTTTGGTCTGTTCATTATGTAAGGTCATACATGTGTGCGTTCATCAAGACACATTTCTTGTATGTGTAACATACTTGGCAAAATGAAGTGCTTCTGATTCTGAATGTATGAAGGGTAAGAAATAATGATTTTTAGTAGTTGACACAATCGACACAAAAAAAACAAAAAAAAACATAATTTTTTTATTTCATAAGGCCTTTAAAATAATGTATACACATATATACATACAGAAAAGTGACATGTAAACCATAAACCACATTATCTGTTTATTAGGTAATGTGTCTATGTGAAATAGATAAAAGGTAGGCTGCAGCCATCACTTTATCATGATGATGAAATTTCACATGACCATCAAAAGGAGATTTCCATTCAAATCTCAAGCTTGTTCACTGCATCTTTGAAGGGATTCAGCATTCTGTGGCTGTTTCTCGAGCAACTGGGCATTCTCCAGATATGATACTGAAACAAATGGTTTTCCTCATGTGGGTGTACACCAGGGGGCAGTAGGTTCCTTTAGTAAGAAACAGGAGCTTACATCTTAAACTCTTCCATTCCAAGGTAGCCTACATGGAAGCTCGAAACAAAGAAATGACCAAGCTTTTTTCATGTATAAAATACATTTGCATAACACAACAGTGCAGACTACTATGGAGGTCCCAGGCATCATGAGGTCATCCCTTAATCACAGAAGTCCTTTGGCTTTCTAAGGACACTCTAATGGACAGAGAGGCAGTGACACAAAAACAGTCATGTAAAATGTTTTCCTTAAAGGGGAATTACACAAATTTTTAAAAAGATGTAAACAAAATCATTTAAATGTAAACAAAGTCATTTAGAGTAGTTGATGTGAAATGTGCAATTTTAGAGAAACTAGAGATAGATAGATAGATAGATAGATAGTAGCTATAGGAACCAGACGTCTGAAGCATATTACAAGAAATGGTTATATATGCTACCTATTGCGTGAGACATTGTTTTACAATAGGTTTGCGCTAAGATTTTGGCCTTAAATGCTTATTTTAAAATCCATTTATGAAAAAGACGTAAGACTACATGCAGGGCATTCTAAGGCAAAATAGTACCCAAAGAAAACTTTTTCATCAACATTATACATAAAAACTCAGGATACAGGTGTAGGTTCTCTGATTGTTTTGGATAGAAAATAAAAGGCCACATTTGTACTATAGACATTGCAACCTTTGGTTCCTGTCACCACCACCGAGTTTCTCTACAATGCACCATTTCACATCAAACCACTCTAAATGACTTTGTTTACATGTCAACAATTGAATTATGCAGACATTTTGAACAATCAATGGAATTCTCCTTTAAGGCAAAACCTATAATTAGGCTTTCTTTGCATGATCGTGTAGGGGTGCTTTCCAGTTCACTTGACTGGAAAGCATTATCTTGCCTTGAATTTGAACCCTGTAAGTTGCATATTAAATTTACGGTATACAGTTAGAAATAAAGATACTGTGCAGGTACATTTTTTGTTCATCAAGGTACAGACAATGAAAATGTACCCTTAAAGGTATGACAGTGCATTTAAGGTCTAATTGTGCACCTTAAATAAGTTTTTCCCAGGTAAAAAGTACATATTTGTGCCTTTTTATAACCTAATGTTTTAAAACAGAACAATAAAATAAAATGCCTGGAGACGAGGCAGGATATGTAGAGTCAATACAACATGGATATAATTTCAATGAATTATGGTACAATCATGTTCCCTGATTAAAGGTACTGAGGGTACCGCTCCAGTGACAAGAGTCCTAATCGTATAAAAAAAATTCAATTCCAGACAAAGTTAGTGCATTAACTCATCTCAGAAGTGGCGCCCCCTTCTTGACGTTGCTGAGGCTCTGAGTGGAAGAGGCAGTGGGGTCCACTCTAGTGTATTTATCCCTAGATTGAGACAGAACTTGCAGCTCAAGTCCTTCAACAGACTGCATGTGCTCTTGGTCCAGACGCTTACGGAGCAACTTGTGACAACGTTTGCACGCCAGGTAGATTATCTCAATGATGCACATGAGGATGCACAAAGCAGAGGTGACCACCATGAATATAATGAAGATCCTCTTTTCAGTTGGACGGGAGATGAAGCAGTCCACCATATTGGGGCAAGGATTTAGGCTGCACTTTGACAGACTGGGCAAGCCATACCCATCGTTGATATAGTACAGGATGTAGAGGAAGGCACCATCAATGGCTGCTTTGAATATGAGACTGATCAGGTAGGTGTACCACAGGCCCCCACGCTTCCTGCCTGGATTGGCATACAGATATTCGCCATTGTGTAATCGAGTGTACTTCTGATTCTTCTGTTCTCTAAACTTGACGTGAGCCACCACCAGGAGAGACGGGCAGGTTACCATGATGAGCTGCAGGGCCCACAAACGCGCGTGAGAGATGGGGAAAATGTGGTCATAGCACACATTGATGCAGCCTGGTTGGGCTGTGTTGCACACAAAATCTTTGGTCTCATCTCCCCATACTGGCTGCGCAGCCACCACGAACACCAAAACACGGAAGATGAAGACCACGGAGAGCCAGACGCGGCCAAAAACGGTGGAATATTTGTTCACGCCACCGAGCAGGACCTCCAGGCCTGCCCAGTTCATCTTTGCAGCGGGAGGAAAGCAGCTCACTTAGAGTTGAGGTAACTCCTACACAAGACAAGATCATAGATAACTTAGATTATTTGTTTAAAGTGACACTACAGACAAAATAAAAAATGAAACCATCACTACATCTGTTGTAATCATACCTACTTGTCTCTTACAGCAATGCTGCAGAAGTTTCTAAAGTGAGATTTCCAGGTTTAAAGACTAGGAAACCCCCCTTCTGATGATGTATCTTGACGGTAGAAGTACATTTTGAAAGACTATAAGTGCTTAGGGAAAGCTGTTTGAATTGTTTTTTTAATTGTTCAATTGTTGACAAATAAAAGTTAGTGCTAAACCAACACTAGCTAGCAGATGAGCTTATTAGCCTCTGAATCAGTGGTTACAATTTGTTGAGCACCTTTGAGATTCCCAGTAGCTTTGTGATGTATTTGAATATTGCTTGCTGGTTATTGTAGTAAGGGGGAACCCTGATGAATGGAAACAAGTTTTGAAATCATGAATTCTGTCCAACCAATAAGCTGAGGGACAAAATGCTGCGCTACAGAGTACTATATAACCTGATAAATAGCATATTAACTGCTAGTAGGCTGGAATGACCCTTGTGCTGTGTACTGTTTAATATTAAAGTACTAAGGCATTTCTGTGAATTAGGCTTGTTCTATGATATAGGCATAGAATGAAACTATAATGAAATTATTATGTGTTTCTTCCCCTGTGATGTTCGAATTCAGAAGGGGAATACAAAATTAACCAGTTATTGAATTTAGATGTAGGTGATGTCATACCACAGTAACCACCATCATTTTCAGTTAACTCTGGATTCATTAAGAGGTCCACATCCAACATTTTTCTCTTCTTTAATGTTTAACTCTGGAAGTCCACTTATGGTGTTTGTTTGGCTTTATATATCAAAACAAATTCTTTTTACCCATATAATTAAACAGGCTCTTTTTTTCTATACTTTTAAGACTGAAACAAGTAAAGGACCTCTGTTTTGATTGGCTGTTCTGTGTTGTGCCTCATTCTAGTAGTGGCCAGTATACCGATTTACTGGTTGAAAGTTCTGCCATAACTGTTATACTGGTAAATAATCACAAAGAACACAGTGCACAAACAATTAAAACATGCAGACATTAACCTATGTAGCTGAATGGCAAAAATCAGTCACATTTCAATCAATCAATTTATCAACCTTTATTTAAACTCAGGGATCCACTGAGAGTGACGCTCATTTGCAATGTAGCTGAGCACAGAAATGAAAAACGCAGCAGACCCTCAATCACCTCCTGCTGTCTTGTCTGTTGTATTTGAAGTTGTCCACTTTGTTTTTGAGGCAGTGGACATAAAGGAATGGCGGTCTTTTTGGTTTAGCTGTTGCCTAACATTGACACCAGACTGATTGCTGTACTTATTTCCTCTGAGAAACTGGCTGACTTGATCAGCTGCATCAGACAAGGCAGCGGGCAGGCGCCTGTACAGACGGAACTCTTATTAAAAATGAATGGATATTCCGGAATAAAAGGCCACTGTTAATCTACAGAAATAGGTATACAGCATACATACAGCATGTAGCATCTAAAATGATTTTATTTGAAGAAAAGTATGTACTGTGATATATTTCACCACTGTCAGAGATTTTCATTATATTGTGAGATACATTTCTGGCCATACTGCACACTACTATCTCGTTTAAAAAGCAGTCTGGGCTGAAACACTCCTTATAACTTCAGTGTGAATTAAACTACTGTAGGCTGAGTGGGTGGATATATAGAAATGTGCTGGTTCTGTGACATTAGAAAAAAAAATCAAAACAGGTTGTTTTGCAGCTTGGTTTCTATACATGGACTGTATGAACTGTGAACAGCACATTTCTAAACTTTAACAGTGTTTACATGATACAATGCTACACCAATCTTTTAAAAAACTGCGGTGTAAGTCATTTAACAAAATGCAGGAACATAATGAATGTAATTCAAGCAGTATTTTAGTACTGACAGTGGAGGAAGGCTGTTCATGATGCCAAATGATCTCTGTATCTCATTAGATCTTTCTTCAGTTGTGACACTAAACAAATAAATAAAAGAATGCGAACAGCCCAGGGGAATCACAGTTGCTTGGAAATCCACTAGCTTCTATGGGAACAATTAGCACTTAAGTGAAAGCCAAACTAATGAAGGTTCTTTCTACATGACTAATGAGGTAAAATGGTAAAGCTTTGATTTCTTATGAAGTGTAGTTTGGTACTTAGCTATGTTTACTTTTTGGTTACATCATCTAACCTGTGATGGTCTTTTCTTTATTCAAATATTTTATTTGTAGTGTTGATTCCAAAACTGCTTTGTGAAATTCTAAATGCTACAAAGCTGGTCTATTTATTGTGGCTAAAACAGTTACAATTCATTTGAAGCAGTTTTTTTTTTTTTAAGAAAGCAGTTTAAAAGATCTGAGAAATGAGATGCAAACTGTTCATGCTGGATCCCAGTAGGATGTATCAAAGCTTTGTAGCCCACAGGGCTCTCCACCGCATGATCTATTGCTGATTTCACACACACTTGTGCGTAAAGAGACCTGTACACTGGATCAGTCCGTAATCACCAACCAGCATATGAAGAATTCTATTTAAGATTTATCATTGTTTACTGAAAACATAAGAACAATTGCATTGATTGCATATTTCAATTCATCAGACTTTGTTTTATTCTCCTCCACAAATTTCTACCCTTATTAACTCTTTAAACTACAAGGCCACATATGGGCCACATTTCTATTCCCCACTCTCAAAGCTACATATGCATACACAACTACACAGCTATATATTCAATATTATAGTTGTTTTACAGTAGTTACCAAATAATTAACAGCAGCTACTGAATATTACATCTTATGCAAATAATCCAACAATTTTCAATATAAACTGCTATATCTGTATTATTCTGTTTACCATGGACTGTAATTTTGACTTGCTTTCTTGAACTTAAAAAAGAGTAGAAGACTCAAAACTCACTTACAACAAATGCCACTGGGCAGCATGTTTACATTCTTATGTATAGCTTGTAAGAGGATTGTATGTTATAGTCACAGTCACATCAAAACAGCAAAATATAATCATCTCTTTGTTTTGCACTGTGAGCTCCTGTAACCAAAACCAAATTCCTTGTATGTGTAAGCATACCTGGTCAATAAAGCTTTGATTCTGATTCTATGAAGATAGATATAAATATAAATAAGGTGTGAAAAGATCTGAGCTGAGCACAGTGTCATTAACTCCCAGCAAAGGGTTTCCACAGTCAGTAAGAAGCTTGTTGTTTACTTAATGTCATGTGATTGTGTGCCTAAAATGGGGCAGTAAAAGCAGCGCTTAAGGCCCTCTCCGCCTTTCTCCTTTTTAAAATTGCTAGAGTTATTTTTTTATTTTTATTTTGTTTTATTTATTTTATTTTTTATGACACACATCAAGGATACGGGATCCAATTAAAATTTTTCTCAAAGCCGAAGTGGGATGCATCTCAAGTTCTGAATCTTCTTGCTTTCTGTTCTGCTGTCTCTGCCTTGCATTGTCAGATGATTTCCCAGCGGCTGGGCTGGAACTGGCTCTGCTTTACCAGAAAGGATGGATGGAGGGCGGATCTGTTTCTCCTTGTTTGTGCCTTGTTTTCACTTGACAACAAGTCTACACTCAGTATTCGCAATGGTAACTCTGTATCCATCCTAGCGTCTGCTGGCGTGCTGCAGGACATTATGTGCAATTTAAGAGGTAACTTTGCATAACTATTTTTTCCTTACTGTGCCTAAAAGCTTTTGGAGAAAGCGTCTCCTTAGAACGGTGACAGAGACAAGTTTGGTATTCTGTGTGAAGCACAAATGCAAGTCTGGACTTGCCAGCTGAAAGACTTTGTTCTGATGTTCTGGCACTGTTTCAAACTTTACAAAAGGCAACCTTCATGAATGTTTTCTTAATGATGCTATCATTTAATCTCCGTTGCCAACACCGAGCTAAGGCTCCACCTATTCTGACCAACATACAGCACTCTCAGTCACATCATTAAAAAAGAAAACAAGAATAAGAACTTCACGAAGGCCTATTAATGGTCAAGTTTCTGTTCTCATTGTCTAACAGAACCTGCTTCTCGATACCACCTCACAATGATTCCCAAGCTGGAGGCAAAAGGGTGTAAATAATCCATTTTCTGCTCTCAGACGCAAGACACCACAATATAGCAACAGCTCCACAATCTAACAAAACACACTAAAAAGCAAAAGATTCATCATTTGCTAATTTTCCAAATCTTGAATATGTAAATCCTACCTTTCTGAGTTGTCCGTGTTTGCAACAGAAATAGAAAAGAAAGCAGGATCATGAGGCTCCACTGTTTGTTAGTGATCCAGACTAACTAGATGGATATCAAAGCTTGAGAAAGACATTCCACCCTGTAACCACAGGACAGGTGGGTGGAAGCTTCAACAGCCTGTTCGACAACCTGGGAAGAGCACGATAACGTTTACTTACGTCACAGACTAGATCTGAGTCAAACTGAAAACCAACTGTACTTGAATAAAAGTGTACTTGTCATTTTCAGAAACTCTTTTCAACAATTATACCTTGAAATTGAGCTTCATTTGGTTAAAAAATAACCTTTCTTTATATTTACTGTTGTACTCAGTACCTTATGTTCACTCTCTTAGTAAAGACAATGATTCTGTTTAGAACAATGAGTTCTATATAGAATCATTTCATGCTTAAATGATTCTTTCCATGGTGAAATGGTGCTTCAGATGGTTCTATATAGAACCCTTTTTGAAAATGGTTCTATATAGCACCAAACAGAGATCCTATATTGCTATGATGTCAGACCTGTAAAGAAAACCATTCCCTTTACTAAAGAACCCTTGAAGAACCATCTTTTTGGAGTGTTGGCTATTGAAAAAATCTAAAGAGCTGTTATACTAACATCATACCATTACTGCTCCATCCACCACATTGTCTGCAGAAGCAAAAGCAAAAGCAACCATAAGGAAAAAATAGCACCAAATGGTTTCATTGTTTCTTGTTGGTCAACCTAATACCTCTTTTCATACTGTAAGGAATGCTTTTGTTCTCTGAAAGAAACTTTGCTCTCTTGTGTATGATATTCGCCTCAGTCAGGCATGTTTTTCTTACAGGTAAAATGTGAACTGGGGCGGTTAAGGGATTTAATTGTAGTTAATTGCATTATTTTATGTGGTTAATCGTGATTAATCACATTAATCTTATTTGCTCAAATTTGACCTTAAAGACAGATTGTGTCCATTTAAAAAGCAGTGTATTTTGTTACAGCTACAGTATGGTGCAAAAGTCAGAGATGAGATTTATTTCATTTCCAGTCAAAATTTTTGCCTTTACTACATTCTTTTCAGAAGACTTGCTTTCATTTTTTCAAAGGAATCTGCAGGCACAATTTCCACACCTCTAAAGTTCAGTCTTAGAAGTTGGTTGCATTTTCTGCTTCTTACAATCCAATAATTCCAAACACATCCAATGATGTTGAGGTATGGACTCTGGGTTGGTCAGTCTATTGTTATGAGAACACCAGCAGCTTCTTTGTTTGATTTGCAAATTTTCCTCTTTTAATCTATTTCTTTTTCTCAGTAAGGGCTTTCTGACAGCTACATATACTTTCAGACTCATAGTGTTGAGTTGTCTTCCTACAGTAAGAGGATGAACAGAAACACCTGTGGATTTTTTCAGATATGAAATAAGAGTGGAGCTTCACTTCTCCTTTCTCTCAAAAATGAAAGCTTTAATTACTGTTTATCTGATGATGACAGTTTTGGTTGTCTATCAGGTCTTACCCAGTTGTTAGGAGTCATATTTCATCTGGATCTTTTAATCATTTTTTGAAATCTAGTTTCCCCTTTCTTATGCAAGTGGATTGTCATATATCTAGTGTCCACAGAAATATCTGCTGGAAAACTAATCACTTTGGCTATTTAATTGGAAATTGAATAAATGAAGGTTGGTCTCTTTGCACAGTTCTGTATATGAGTGGACAAAACAAGCTTCATAAGCCTATATGTATTACTTTAAGCAATTCAATAACATTATTTCCATCATGTGAATGCATAGTTCACATGAATCTGAGTATGAAACTCACATGATTTATACTGGGTGTACAGTTTTTATCAGCTTTCAGTGAGAGTTACAGCAGCTGTTTATTCCAACCAACATATCATAAATTGAAAGGGAAGACTTGAAAATGTGTTAAAGGTGTAAAAAAAATGTGTCATTAATAATTTATAGTGTTAACCTTGACAGCCTTGTGAACACAAAACACTGAAAGACCAGTTTGAGAAGTAGGTTTACATGATGCAGTCAGGTAGGTTGGTATTAGTCAGACTATACAAATCTGAAAGAGATGCAAAACAGTAGATTTGAATGCAGGTGTGTGTGGGGGGGGTGGGGTTTGTATTTTATTTTGTACAATGTTATGAACTCTGTGAGAAAGAGAGAGAGAGAGAGAGAGAGAGAGAGAGAGAGAGAGAGAGAATATGTCCTTTAGAACTTTATTTCGTAGAGTCTGGATGATCTTTGAAACAAAAGTGACTGGAAACAGTTTGAGATCGAGACCGGGGGTGAAACCTGAACCTTGGCATTTGTTTTTGTGTAAACATTCCCGCAAGCCGGCTGCAGAAATAAATAAGACTGTAAGAGAAAGATAAAAAAGAGAGTGAGAAAGAGATAGAGAAAGAGAGAGAAACAGAGTGAGAGACATGACTCAGACTTCAGAGACTACTAAGCACAATATCACTGGAGGCCACAAGGGTAAAGACATAGCAGGTGAGAGGACAGCGCATGTTGTGTTTGCACTGCATCACTTTCTACCTCAGGCTGGTGGTGCTATGTTTACAGTGCTGTGTGCTGTTAGTGTATATGTAGGGATTATTATCAGACTGGTCTAGCCAGTCTTTTGGGGAGTAATTAGGTGTATTTTACATTTTCACCTCACTGTCACAAGGAGCAGCTCTTTTAAAGTTTAATGCCCCCCAATGTCATACTTTGTACCAATCCATGTGACAATGCATGTGTGTCTATATAAGCAATGCATATATATATATATATATATATATGTATATATATATATATATATATATATATATACAACTCTACCCTTCGTGTGACTGGGGGAGGTGAGAGATTTGTTGAAGAATTGTTCTGCTGATAGCAAAAACAGCTCTCCCCTTAACCCCATTAAAAGGCCAGGGTCTGCCAGCAGGCCCAACGTTTTATTGTACACTTTTATAACCTAAGAATAGCAAAACCGGTTTGCATTGGAGTCCCTGTAGTGACTGTATAATAAGCCTTAGTATGCAAAAAGCCAGGAATTTTAAGGGGTTAAAAGCACAAACACCGGCCCCACATGGCAATGATGTGGGAGAAATTTTGGTTTGGCATCTGGGGTGGCCAATCAGATTTTAAGGGGGGGCACACCTTTAAAACCATGCATGGATGTGTAGCTGTCAAGAGGTCCTTACTGAGAAAAGGAAATTTGTAAATCAAACAAAGAAGCTACTGTTGTTCAGAACAATGGACTGACCATCCCAGAGTCCAGATCTCAACATCATTAAATGTGTTTGGAATCACTTGGACTGTGAGAAGCAGAAAATGCACTTCTAAGACTTAATTTTTTCGAGGTGTGGAAAAATATCCCTTCAGATTTCTTTGATCTTCTGAAAAGAATGTAAATGCTATTGTATTTAGTTATTGAGGCATCTGTTTTCTGCTTTTGTTTTCTGGATGCTGAAAATAATTAAGTTGTACTTATTGCTGTTTTGACTGGAAATCATATGTGTGAAGGGTGGTTTCTGACTTTTGCATAGTACTGTATACATTATTATTATTACACATATAATATAACATATAAAGAATATTTGTTTTATTAATTTTATATTTTAAGTCTACCTCAAGTTACTTAAAACTTCCTGATGTCCTAAATGTGGAAACACAACTTAATACGCATTACTGAATTTTACATCGCTTAGATCATTATTAGCATGGGTAATATTTTTCTCTCCTGCCTTTCTGCTGATCAGTGGAGCACAGCTCAGTGGCTTCATGTAGCTGCACTGTCTTCTCTTCTCTTAGTCTGTCTTTTATTCTTTTGGCCTCAAAAGTTTAACCAAAAAAAAAAAAGTGCCATTAGAATTAAGATTCTGAAGGGCATATCGCTATTAAACATGCCTTCAACTGTGTCATTATGAGGGATGATAGCGTCTGAGCAGAGAAACTAAGAAAAATCCAATCACACGTCTTGGTTCATGTCACTAGGGCACCACTAGAGAGGGCTGGAGCTCCACTCAGTTCCCTTTGGTGTTGCCTCTGAAGAGAACCGGCCACTGCTGCAGCTGTGACCGATGGAAACTGCAGTGTAACGTCAATCTGAAAGAGGAGGCTTCTCCGGGGGGTAAAACTCCTCTGCTGAATAACTCTAACACTCAGTCACTCAGTAAGCAAGCTGTGGTGAGGTAGTGCATTCCATAATGCTTCCTTTTAGGAGGCACAATCGATTCTCCCTTGAAAGACATCATTCCCTGAGGTCAGCATTACCAACCTGCAGCACCTGAGCCGAGTGGAGAAGGAGGGAAAAAAACATCTCATGCAAAATGAATGAAACAGAGCCAGCACCGGGCCAAGCTGGGGAGCCAGATGGAGACGCCTGTTTTCGGAACAGTGAGTGAGAGTGAGTGATGGGGATTTAGCGTCTCCAGAAAACTTGCTCTGGTCTGGGGAGTCTAACCAAAAGGCTGAGGGAAAGACTTAGCAGTCAAGGCTTGTGCTCCTCAATGCCAGGGGAAGGTTCAGGCTGTATCAAGGGACAAAGAAAAGGAGAGTTGTCAGCTAGCGGATCTGCCTGGCTGCTTGGGAGTGCAGATGTGTCCTGCGTGGTGGATGAGTCAGAAGCCAGAGTTGAGTTCCAGATGTCATACCCAGCAACCGAATGTCAGCAACAGTGAGGGTCCCAAATTCTTCTGACAAAGTCTTTACTTTTCTCATGTGGCAGGCTGTGTCTTCTCCATCAGAATAAATTACTTGTGTGTGTGTGTGTGTGTGTGTGTGTGTGTGGGTGTGGGTGTGTGTGTGCTTGCTCTGCGACACTTGTATTGAATAAAGGAACAGAGAACAATAGTCTAGACTCTGCTGCTGTTGTTGGATAATGGATCTGCTGTGTGGATGACCTACAACAAAGTTGTTCTGAGCTCCATTCTGACTTTCTAAGTATACTTGCAAGTCAAATTCCTTTGCTAAACACATATATAACTACACCTGAGTTACACAGTGCCCTCCAGAATTCTTGGCATGCATTGCAGAGATTAGCAAATAGGCTCTGAAAAAATGTTTTGTTGTTTATCAGGTTGATCTTCCACTGAAAATACAGGAGAAAGCCAAAGAACCAACTTTTCACTA